CCCCTTTCTACTTGGTGGTACTTCTGGGGACAGAGCAGGACAGGAAAGTGAAGACCCATCATCCACTTCATCCTTTCCAACACTGTTTTTATCAAGTTGTTTTGGTAAAGAGTAGAATGTGTTTGGTCCCATCACTGACTTTCCTGTGGATTTTGTCTTCCATGCCGAAATATATAAATCACAATTTGTTTTTGCTTTTATTTTAAATATCTCCTTGAAAGACTATTATTTCTACCTTTAATGTTTTGTGAGTGTTGTGTGAGTTCTGTGCCTTCTGCATTCTTTATTTCTAAGGGAAAACCACTTTCTGGCTCAGAAAAGTGGCTTATGCTAAAGAGTACCCCCAAAAACTGGTTTCCCAAAGGTGACACCCAGGAAAAGGTCACAATGGTATACAGTGCTTAGGACATTCATTTCTGGATCTGACTTGGGACAGGCCTAGGAAGTATATTTATAAAAGACTAAATTATAATTGAAAAACTAAAATCTCTGTACATGGTAGCCTTCTACAGGATAATAGTTATTATTATTACTGTATTGTTGCTGATTATGATGTTTCTTAGGACACTTGTGGGATTAGAGGCTACAGGAACTTTCTCTGAGCTTCCTCTGGGGGTTCAATGAATGTCCTGAATGACACTTGAGAAGTTTTTGTTTCAAACAAAAAAATCTTTTGCCAAGTCCTTCTTCCCCTTGAGTATGTGTACTTCAAGGGAAATTTGATTCATATGTTTCTGAATCGTTTACAATTAAATCATCAGCATATAATTTTCTAAGAGCTACAAGGTGTCCAAGGAGCTTTTGGAACCTGTTTTATAATTCCTCTCCAGTCCTTTTCTTAACACAGAAAGTTGCATTTTGCCAAAAACACATAAACTCAAACATTCAGAAGGCTAAAGTTCGGTTTACAGCTCCAAACCCCAGGTTTCAAGCACATCTGTGATTTTTACAAAATAGAACCTTGCAACTCTACAGAAGTTTTGATTGGAAAAAACAAAGGTGATAAAAGTGTGTAAAAGTATTTATGTGCATTATTGATCTCAGGGGTATGTTTACAGTTATAGAAAGAATCATGAAATGTATCAGGGGCATTCTTGAAACCATTACATATAGATGAAAATTCATTTGGATCTTGCTACTCTACAAGATGTCTGAATATGTTCACAGAGAACAACATTTTAACTTTGCTTTTCACTCATTTTCCTTTCTACCACTTTGAGTCTTAAACACTTTAGGAAACACATGAACATAGTTTGTCCGGCAGAAGGAACTTTAACATCTGTAGGAGTTTCACGTTTTTACTGAGATGAGGTATCATTTCCATTTACAAATGCAATTCACACTGTTCTTGGAACTGGAAAAATGCAGAAAATTACCTCTGGTTCATACTCCGACATCTCTTAATTATTTGTCAATCTTCTCACCTGGCAAAGATGATCCACTCTGACCTTGGAATCCCACTCTAGCTTGCTCACTTGTGTCAGAGGATAAAGAAGCGAAGCTAGGAGAGGTGTTTGGGGCTATTTGAAGCAACTCCCTTAATGTTCTGTGTTGTTGAGTCTACTTCAGTGTTTCTGCACTACAGAGGAACCATGTGGATGCTGGGATGGCAGGTGTCACAGAAAAGAAAATACTTGATTTAAATTTCATTAATTGTATCATCAGTTTACTAATTGATAATTGATCTTATTAATGGCCCCTGAGGAACTTGGGTACCATCTAAAGCTGGGTTTATTCAACCTGCTGACATGGGAAAGTAGCAGCCTGAGAGAGCTCTGAGACGCCTAACAGAGAGATTTAGGGAAGCAAATGGGAGAAGCTTAGACTGAAGCTAGCATGTGTTGTTTTAGGGCAGAAGGTAACAAATGAGGTGTAAGCAAAAGTTGGTAGAATTTCTAAAGTAGGCAAAAGGTAATGTTACCTTTAGAACACTGATCTACAAAGAGCCCATGTTAAATCACCCGATCTGCACTGTCATTTGTTACCTGTTATGGTTTGAGAGAACTTACCAACTTGTGCCTCATAGCATAGTTTTGCAGAGTGTGCGATTTGGGTTTCTTACAATAGAAAAATAAATGTATATAATATGCACATATACCTTGCATTCATTCATCTATGCATTCATTCTTATTAAAAATTGAACTGTTTAATAGTACTTAAGAAGCTAACCAGCATGAAGTATGGTGGCACATGACTTCAAAAGATGTGAACTTTTTCTGGCAATACTTAAAGTTACTTGGTCCTTGATAGGTACTTACGTATAGATTATATCTTATATAAATTGTACTTTCTCTTATTACTGTATTTCATTCACAATAAACAAACATAATACTAACAATAAAATATCTTTTAAGATTTTTCATTGTGTTTTGAGTCATTTCATGTTTATCCCAAATAAATGTTTAATTATCTGTATCCTACCTTGCCTATTAAGAATTCACACTCCACTAAATAACAGATCCTATGCAATGTGCAATAGAACCACTAGAGAAATCGAAAAGTTAAGAAGGCATTTTATAAATAAAGAACAACACAGTTCTCAAATGCTTCTATGAATATAGTGAAATTTTCAGGAAAAGAACTGAATAAATTAACTCTCAGATTAATAGTTTAGAGAGGGAATTGCTGACCACATTCAGATCATTTAAGCTAGAAAATTGTAATGAAAGCCTCTCCATAGGTGGATAGAACAGAAATTTTATAGAGACTCTCATTCTGAAAATGACAAAAAAAAAAACTACCTGTCTATGTTAGATAGTTTTTATTGTCAACTTGACACAATTTAGAGTCACCTGAGAAGAGGGAACCTCAATTAAGACCAGAGAAACTGTCTTGATTGATGCCTGATGTGGAGGGGCTCAGCCCACTCTGGATGATACCATTTCTACACATGTAGATCTGTGTTTTGTAAGGAATTTTTCTAAGCCTAAGCCTGAGAGTAAGCTAGTAAGCAGCATTCATCCATGAGTTCTGCTTCAGTTCTTACCCTGACTTCCCCCAATAATGGATTGTGACCTAGAATTCCAAGCTAGAATAAACCTTTACTCTTCAAGTTATTTGAGTCCAAATGTCTTAGCACACAGCAACAGAAAGTCAAAACAGGACTCATCAAAAGTCAACCTAAACAAAAAGTACTATTTACCTTTGTGCTTTAGTATTTAGAGTTTTAATTAAAATATATGATTTCCTCTCTTCCCTTTCTTCCTTCTAACACTTCCATGTCCTGTCTGTCCAGTCCCTCCCATGTCCCAAATCACTCCCTCTCAAATTCATGACCTCTTTTTCTTCTATTATTATTATTATTATTTGTAAATAGATAATCATAGCTGATGAGTCGTCGTCTTGAGTGTCGACTGTGTGTATATGATTTCAGGGCTGACCACCTTGTGTTCAGGGCTGACCACCTTGTGTTCAGGGCTGACCACCTTGTGTCGTATAACCATTTAAGAGGCCCGTCTCTGGGGAAGACTAATTCTCCCTCTTTCAGCACTCATTAGTGGTTCTTTGTCTACGGCTGGGGCCCTGTGAGATTTCCCCTTCCACCTTAGCGTATGTATTGGTGGTGTCCTTATTCACGTCTTATTTACAAAGCCATATTGTTGATGTATCATGGCTGTAGCTGCCCCGTCATTTCTACAAGACACAGTCTTGCAGCAGATTTCCTGGTTCTCTGGCTCTTACAGCCTTTCTGATTGCAATGTTCCCTGAACCTTAGATGCAGGAGTTGTGCTGTAGTTGTATCTCCTGGAGTGCTGGGTAGCCCACGATCATTTGATTTCTGCATTTTGACTAGTTTTCTGTGATGGTCTTCATCTGCTACAAAGAGAGGTTTCTTGGTTGAAGAGTGAGAGAACTACATCTGTGCATATAAGAATAGGTTTTAGAATATTCTTACAAAAATTCTTAAATAAATTTTAGAATATGTAGAAATATGTTGGTCTGATAAAGTGAAAGGGATATATGCATTCATGTATATGCATGTGTATTTACACATTCACATATATAGACATACACATTCTCCCATGCATTACATGTAGTTTCAGGTAAATACAAAGTAGTATGATTCCTTGAGACTTTTTTAAACATCCTTAGTGTTATTTGTCCCTTCTGCCTCTCCTTCTGTCTTGATCTCCCTTTCCCCTCCCCTCTTAAAGCTCCCTCCCAGTTTTCCACATTTCTCCTCTTTTTAAAGCTTGATTTTATTTGCTTTCTCTGAGTTTTATCATCCATTAGACAATAACCATTGTTAGTAATAGTTTTATATTTTAAGTTTCCCCCTATGAAATATGTATTACTTAGAGGCTTTTATTTTCCATCAGCCTCTGCCAACCTTATTTGAAATTTAAATTAATAGAATGCCCTAATTCTCTGGTTCTTTGTTGTCAAACACCTCATTAAATATTCAAAGTAATTGCTGTTGGATATCTTCCTTGTGTCAGTCAATGGCTGGCCTATGCTCATGACCTCCTCACACAACCTTATATTTTTTAATATAAAAATCTAGGGATATAGCTCAACAGAATTCTTCCATCTTGCCTAGGGTACATGAAGCTATCACATCAATTCCAAGTATGACAAAAAAAAACAAATAAAGCATTGTCATATCTCTCATTTTCAGGATAGAGAGAGATAAAAAATGCTTTCAATTAGAAGGAATTGAAATGTCACAATGTTGAAGAGATCATGAGCAAGCAGACATCTTTCAGAAAGTATTTCAAAATGGCTGTTTTGCCCTTGTGTCAATGCAAAAATTTATTTCAAACTAGTTACTTTCTCACTTGACAATAAGAAAACTTATAAAGGTGATTTTTTCTCAGATCTTTATATTTTAAGGGTCTAAATAATCGTATAACCTCTAAAAAGACTGAATGAGATACATCTGTAATGATCAGAACATTCACTTTGTTTTCTGCTACCTTCACAGACCACACAAATGTTCAATATTCTATTTTGGGTTATTCTTAAAATGTGTACTTGTGTCCTCTCCCCCGTTTCTCCAGGACTGTCCACCAGAAGCAGGCGATTTTCGAGCTCAGCAGTGTTCTGCTCATAATGATGTCAAGTACCATGGCCAGTTTTATGAATGGCTTCCTGTGTCTAATGATCCTGACAACCCATGTTCACTCAAGTGTCAAGCCAAAGGAACCAGCCTGATCGTTGAACTAGCACCAAAGGTCTTAGATGGTACACGATGCTATACAGAATCGCTGGATATGTGCATCAGCGGCTTATGCCAAGTAAGTGCTGAAGTCTTCCCATATGAGTTGTCCAGAGGTGCCGTGCCTGCACGTAAATAGGCTTCTCAGTTACTCAGTTACCTTCTAGAGTTTATAAAGAGTAACAGATTTGAAGATTGTGATTTCAGTGAACGGTAGGGGTCTTGTATTCCATGTTAGTTTGTTAAGGAAATGCAGACTGCAGGTGAGTTTGGTTTTGTTTGGTTTCTTTATTCCTTGAATGATACTTGAATGTGGGAGAATAAAAATTCTTGAATATTGTGCATTGATGATAAATTTTGAAATTATGTGTACCTCAGATGTCCCTGAAAATTGAAAAGGAGTAGATGGAAGAAGGTAGGGAAAGAAGGAACGGATTGATTTCTGGTATCAATTCATCAGTGTGTACTTGAAGGCTCAGTAAGACAACAAAGCATTAGTCCATTTGCCATGAACTTGTCTTCTTCATTTCAAGGCTCACTTTTTGGACTGTGATGAGCAGTCCACAGTATAGAATGAGCAGGTTTCCTGAATGCTGTTATTCACCATATTCTCTTATGTGGCACAGTACAGACATTTTAAGAACATTTGTCTCAAGCAGGAGGACATGTGTTGAATCTGAATCTATGATATAACAACTTATAATATGAAAAATATGGAACATGTTTCAGGTATTTCTTTTAAATTTACATTTATTGAAAACAAGTCTACATGTTAATTTATAAGAAAATTGCAGTGTAAATTGTTATGAGACATGAGATGTGAGATAAGGTTTATGAATGAGAGAGGGAAGCAACTATTGTCAACTTTCATACAGGTTAGGACACTGATTCAGGAAGGGGCATGTTCAAGGTTTTTCAGATACAAGGGAATATATATATATATATATATATATATATATATATATATATATATCAGAAGTTTCTTTAGGTATGTGATATATGAGTTCCAGGTGAAATGTGAGTGTAGTATTTTATTCTTCTCAAGACTGCAGGATCGTAGAGAATATCCACATACCTTTAAAAGCAACACATACAAAACATTACTTGTGGTATTTTACAACTATTTGCAAAATTATTTGTGATTATTTATAAATAGCCTGGTGGGGCTGGAAAGATGACTCAGTAGTTAAGAGTGCTTCCTGCTCTTCCAAAGAACCCAACTTCCTTTCTCAATGCCATATCAGGAGGTTCACAACCACCTATAATTCTACCTTCAGAGGATCCAACACCCTTTTCTGGCCTCCATAGACACCTGCACACACATAGCATACACACACACATACAGACACATACACAGACACACAAATAAAAATAAATCTTTTAAAATGCTGCCACTAAGACTTTTAATTTGTTAAAATAGGATTATGAAATCTGTAAAAATTGCAGGAATAGTAAAGAACCATAAAGTAAATAAATATAGAAAGGGCTGCACTGCAAAGAAGGGGAGTTATGATCCCTTGTCTGCGCACACTGCTTCGGTGTCTTGTAAATAAAAATACAAGGGCTAGAAAATGTGCATGGTCTTATGACAATTACATCGTGTCAGAAATGGGACTAAATTCCAGCTCTTCTAATATCCATGTCAGTGTTGTTTCTACAATGCTATGTCTGCAAATGAATCAAAATCAACAAGACAGGTCAACAAATTAGGTTTCAATTGTTTCTGTTGCATGATAGCTCAACCTGGCATGTTTTTTCTCTGGGTCTTCCAGCCAGCTGGCCTCATATATCTTGGAAACTAAAAGAAAATCCTATCTCAGCACATTAAAACAAACAAACAAAAAAACTTCTACATGAGTAAATATGGAGAGATAATGCTCCACTGTGAATTATAAGTACAAACGTGCCTCTTTAAGTAGATTCACAGAATTGTGATTTGTTTCATTTGGGAGTAAATGTAAATTATACCATTGTTTAAAATAAATGTGCTCTATACATAGAAATTACAACTGAATATTACTGACTTATTTCTCGTGTAAGGAGTTATGCCATGGTGAGGAAGGAAATCTCGTGTTTCTTTTGAACACTAAAAAGTAGCGTGATTTGGCTGGAGACTGGATCACAGACTGAAAGGGAGCAAAAAGTAGTTTTATAAACAATCATGGAGGATTAATGTGGCAGATAGGACTACAATAAACAGTAAATGGCCAAGAAAGACTTAGTAATGGATAGAGACACTCAAAACTCTTCTTTAGAAAGATCATTATAGGCTCAATTATAAGAGCTTGAAGTAGACAACCCTTGAGCCACGGAGACCAGCTCTAAAGGAGGGTCTTGTATCAGCCAAGAGGAATGAAGCATCAGCCCTTCCCTGGGTAATAGCGTCAGGAAGAGAAAGGAAACTAAATTTGGAACAAGTACACTTTCACTAGAAGGGAGATGAAAGCAATAAATCCAATCAATCACACCGAACACATCAAAAAACTGCTACTTAACATGAATTCATAAAGGATGTCATCTCGGGTCCTTCCTCCTACAGCATTACATGTGTGTTTCAGTCAAGCCAACCTCAATTTTCTAAAATGAACATAAGGACAGGGAGATGGAGGTGATTGATGGAGGAATAGATGTGAGCAGAGACCACTGAGATGATGGGGCACTAGAGATCGTAAGTGCATTGTGTATACTCTCAGAAGGACAAGAGAGAGATGAGTTAAAATACACCAATTCTGCCCTAGTTATAAAGTAATCATTTAGTCAGGTTTAGATCAGTGATTTATAGTTTCATTTTTAACAGGAAAATGCCCCATCTTAAAACACACTTGGGAATTAGTAACTTAAATGGGCAAGTATGTAAACCTATTCTCCTAGTTCCCTGAAAAATACACTTCTACCCTGACTTTTTCTTTCTCTTTTCTGCTCCATTTGTTTAAGATTTTTAGCTTTTTGTCTTAGAATTTCTCAAAAGCAGCTTTTAATATTTGTGAGACCAGCAATATGAATCACAAACTTTAAAGAATAAATTTTTCAATTTTGACATAATCACCTTGTTAGAAAATGATGCACAGCTATAGTGACTTCTCATTTACAACCACTAATTTATTTCTGTTCTGTCTATCTAATCCCTTTCCAAGAGCCATTGCCTCAAAACTATTTGATCCTTCATCTCTACAACAGAAATGTGGAGTCCCAGGGTTTTACTAATAAGAAGACAACCCTAGCAGAGGAGAAACTGTCCTCTTCGGGAGACCTGGAGACTGATGCTAATGAGTGGATTGGCTCTATATGCTGTAAATTTGCAGGAGGAAAATCTTAGGAACATTGCTATTTATGACACACACCTTCTTCTTCTTGGTAATAGCAGAACGACACAGTAAGTGATGTATTCACTCTTCTGACTGCAGCAATAGTGATCACAAGATAAATATATGTATGTATGTATGTATGTATGTATGTATGTGTGTATGTATATACACATTCTCACTGGATATATAGTTTTCCAAATATTTGTGGTTCTCATGTCATACAGCATTACCTTCATTTCATAGATACAGAAACAGAGGCTTATGGGATTATATGACTTGCCCAGGGTTACCTGATTCTGCCTGGCTCCCAGGAGCCTATCCGTTCTGCCACATCAAGGTGCACTAAGACAATTATGATTTGATAATAGTCCCCAAATTTGGCAGCATACCAGAATCACCTGGAGAGCACTTATAAGACATGACTCTTAAGCCCATCCACCAGACATTCAAATTTAACTATGATTCTATGGCAAAGCCAACTTCATGAACTACTTATAGATTTGACAGCAGGTAGGATTTAAAGAAAAAAGACAGGAGGGAGAATCTGGCCTTTCTTTAGCCAACTGTATGATGTTGGTCTTGGTATGTAGTTTCCTGAAACTTCATCTTAATCTGTGTAAAATGAGACTGCCTCATCAATCAGAATACCAAGTGAGATCAATGCTGTGAAGTCATAGGCAGCTGTGAAATGTGGGAGACCCTAAAGACTTTTAGTTAGATGATACTAGAGCACTGGTTTCCAGGAAGAGAAGGAAAGGATGTGGAAGGGGGAAGAAAAAATGAGAAGAATACACAGTGGTATGATGCTTAACCTAGCATCCCAAGGTCCTGGGTTTCATCCCCAGGACCACACACCAGAACCAGAACCAGAATATCTACCATCTACTCTCCACAGTATCACCTCACAGTAGCTAGGTGGGAATAAGGACCTAACTTACACAAAAGACAGTTCTTTAAATTGGATCTAGCTTACCTTTTGTGACAGTTCCTGCTCTGTACTTTCTCTTTTCTCCCTGAACACAGAAGCTGTCACTAGTAGGGCTTCAGAGGGTGTTTTTGCAAAACATCTCCTCGAGAATGATCAGTTCCACCCTCAAGACACAGGGCTGACTTGAATTTTGAGCTTCTCCTAGGGCTTCACAGTTAGTTAACAGCAGACTAAAGGTCAGGGAGTGGCAATGTTTATCAACATTCTGAAAACATGTTCTCAATGTTATTTCTTCAGCACATCCCATGGGCTAAGTTTTTGTCCAGCTTTAATTCTGTCATCGCTATTATAAAAACAATGGAGTTAGTGACTGTACCTTTACCAGCCACGGTCCCATCCCCTCTCTCCTTCCCCAATCTGAGAATCACCCCCTGGGGCTCACTGTGAGGGTGTGTTTTCTCACCTTCTGTCTTGGGTTGAAAAACACTGGGATCTTTAGTTGCTGGCTGTTGCATTGGATGTAGATAGGAGGCAAGGCTAGAATGGGAAAGCAAGTTTGAATACATAAGGTCAGAGGCTCTGGACCCAGCACTGCATGAGCTACCAGCTAAGTTCCACCATTTGCTGGTATATCACCTGAAGCAAAAGTATAAGCCTCAGCCCACAGCAAGACCCTGTTGCTGAAAATAACACATACATAACTCTTTGAACATGGAGAAGTAAAGCTGGTGCCTACTTAAGAGCCATCACCCCCACTGGCTAGTGAGATTCCCTTGGAGAAACTTATTTTTTCATTTGTAAGTGCTTATCAATTGGAGATAGCATCTTGATTATGAATTGGGGCAT